AGCGGCCCGGCCGCCCGCGGCCTGCGCGGCCCTTTTTGTGTTACCGCGGCTCGGGAAAGGAGCCGGGCTCGCCGCCGCGCCGCCTCCGCCTTCCCTTCCTCGCCCGGTACTCGCGGGGATTCGGTGCAGCGGGGGCCCCGTCCATGTGAGGCGAGCGGAGAGGAGAGGTGCCGCCGAGGCCTAGTCGGCCGTGGTCGCGGTAGTGGTTGGGCCGGCGCCTGTGGTGTCCCTCATGGCCAGGCGGGGAGCGGCCCAGCCGGGCCACACGCTGGGTCTCCGCCGGCAGCCGGGAGCTGCTGTAATGGAGGGTTTCTCCCGTCCTGGCGCGGCCCCGCCGTGTCCCCCCCAGCCCCGCGGCCCGGACCAGAGCTTCCTGCCCTGTCGCCGCCGCCCGGTCGCGGCGCTTTGCCCCGGGGCTCCGGGGAGGTGGCGAGCTGCTTCCCTCTTACTGGCAGGACCTGCTGTGTCTTCTGCTTCGGCCGAGCCTTGGGTATCTGATTCACCTCTTCAAAGGGCTTAGGAATGGCTCTTTGCTCCTCTTCCCTTTCATAACGCTTAAAGGCTGCACCTGAGCACCCTCATCTGCTCCAACTGCTCAACCCTGTTCTCTGCTGGGATCATTGGGCTCATCTCAGCCCCGGAGCCAAAGCTCTTGATTGTCTCCTAACACAGCCAGACACTGCTAGCTTCAAACGAGTCAACAGAGGTGAACCTGCACTTTATATGAAGTTTTAGACAAACGCTGCAAGTGCCTAGCTGATGACGAAACATTAGACAGTAAGCAAACATACTAGCTATAGCAATGTGGGATTGGAGCTGCTGTCTGCCACGGCTAAACCAGAATGAGAAAATCTGTGTTGGTGCAAGGTTACTGCTTAGCTGCAGTAGCACAAAGTTGGAATTAATGGAGGCTTTTGTTTTCATTTTATTGTGAAACAGTTACGACATTTCCCCTCTGAGGTTTTTGCATCCTTAAAGAAAGCACGGTGTGTAAATGATTTCTGTGTCCCAAGGAACCTCTGAGTGCTTGGGGAGAGGATGCACAGTAGAAAAGCTTGGCTTGTTGCTGGCACTGGGGTGCCCTTTGGGGCTCTGAGGCCTGTTTTACAGTAGCTTTCAGGACAGCTCTGGGCAAGTCACTTGAAGGAGACTGTGGGAAATAGTTGTAGTTATTCTAAGGAGCTTGGGAGTTTGCAGAGCAGACTGGTCTGAAAGAGGAAAAGGATACGGGGTGTGGCTGGAGCAATCTGAGACACAGCCATGCCTTGGGAAAAATGCTGTGCTGACCTTATGGGCACCATTGTTAATTTCTGTGTTAGTATCACAGCAACACCCGGGAGGGGAGGAGTTTGGCCTTCAGGCTGGGTCTGTGTGGGAAGAGCAGTTTGGGAGTGGTGTATCCCTTCTCCATGTAATCCAGCCCAGTTGCATGGAAAGGCACGGAGGCACAGGAGCCAGCTTTTTTTGGGTGCTTCTCCTTCCTGTGCAGCCGGGCGCTGTAGTCGCTTCTGCCACAAATCAGAGGGCAGCTGCTGTGGGGGGGCAGTGGGGTGGCCCCCGGGACACTGCTGTGCCGGCGCTTTTTCAGGATTGGGTTCTGCCTTGTGCACAACAAAGAGAAAACTCTTCTTGGTTTGCCACTGGACCTGTCTTTGTGGTAGCAGAGATGGCTCTGGATTTCCCAACAGAGCAGCTGAGGCTGCTTTTTTATCTTTTGGAAACTGAGAGGCAAAGCCAGAGGGAAGAACTTGGCCAGGGAGAGGTGGCTTGTGCAAGTGCGCTTTGGGGAAAGAAAAGGGAGCAGAGAAGAGCAGAGCAAGGAGCAGTGAGACTACAAAGCAAAGTAACTCCTGGTGGTAACCAGCGGGAGCTGCAGCGGTGTAGGAGAGCCTCAGCCTGCCTACAGCCTGCCCACCTGTGAAAGCCTGATCTTCCTTTACATCTAGAAGTAATAGATTACTTCAAAATTAGCCTTCTTCCTTTTCCCAGTAACCACGTCTTTCATTCTGCAGAGCTTTTTCTGTTCCTATGAGCTTGCCTGGCTGTAAACAGCATGCTGTACACTATGTAATGATGCAGGAAATTTTCTGTTGTAAACACCTTACCAGCAGGACAGCAGGGGTGTTTTATTGGCCCAACTAGCCAGGCTGGCAGGAGTTAAACTGGTTCAGTTGTTTATTTACACGTGTACGCAGCAAGCAGTTAGTGCATTAGAGGGTGTAAATGAGTAACTTGGAAAAAATCACAGAATCATGTTTGAGCAGGATTGCCTTTCCTCAATTACTGATTTGTCTAAGTATTTTTCTGTGAAAAGTTCCTGATTTGCCTCAGTCTTTTTGTTTAGAGCAGTCAGAAATCAATAACAAATATCTGCTCAGAAATTAATAATAAATAGCTGCTTAAAGACTTCAAATTTTGCCACACATGAAGCGGGAAAAATACAACAACGTTAAGACTTTGCCCTTTTAATGTCTTTAATCTGAAGATCTCAGAAGTTTGTCTGTTAAGAATTCCACCAACTGACGGCCATCCGTGACTGTTACAGTTGGGCAATTCAGGCATTTATGATGCCTGATTGTAAGAGGGTAAGGTCACAAAGGCAGCCTGTGTCAGACACACATGGTGACTATAAACATTTTAAACTCATGGGACAAAACTGGTATCTTGCTGTGTGTGCAGCGCATAGCTGAGCTCTTACAGCAGTCAAAGTCCATAAGCTTTACTGCAGTGAAAAGAAAAATATATTCTGTCGAGTAATAATAAAATTACAGTGATGTCAAATAAAACAAAACACTGCTAACAGAATGATGAACTCTTTCTGTGTCTGACAAGTCACGTTCTTACAGAATCAGTTCATGTCTGAATTTTTCATGAGTGGGGACCAGCCTTATAGCCTCCTAGTTCAATTTTCATGAGGATTTAAAAAGCAAACAAATGTTCCTGGCAAGAAAAAATTTGCACCATACTAAGTAAAAGAATTACTGAAAACGAGACAAGAACAGGTAAGGTATGTCAGCGTCCTCGAGGCCAATTCTTGCCTTTTTTTATCTGTGCCTTTGTTGTAAATTATAGGTACGCCCATTAACATCTCAAACAGAACTAGAAAATGAAGGCCAACTTGCTGAATTGCTTTGTGGGGTGTTTGATGCAGTGCTCGGGGTGCTGCAGCAGGTTCCTTGCGCTCTGCCTGGTTCCAGCGCTCTGCTGTCGCTGCAGCGAGGGCTGCGTCGCGGTGCCAGCCGCTGGGGTGCTGCCAGCATCCCCCTCCCTGGCCAGGGCAGCGCTGCGCCGGGCCAGAGGCTGGGTGGCTTCTGAGAGCCCTGCCCGCCTCTGCTTCCTCGGAGCAGTGCAGCTGCCTTGGCACTGATGCAGGGAGTAACAGTAATTTTTCCCTCTTTCAGGAACTGCGTGAGACCAGGAGTTAAAACCAAGGCTGGGCCTGGCAGGAGGGAGAGCAGAGGAGAGTCAGAGGATGCAGTGCAGCCTTTGGAAGGATGGTGTGTACAGAGCCATCGATGGCCTCACCTCCCCTCTGTGTGAGCATCCCTTCCTGTGAGTAACACACCGTACAGCGGGATTCAGCAGCACGGAGCAGCCTTTGCTCTTTGATCCTGCTGCGCAGAGACGTAGATGCTAAGTGTTTTGGGCAAGTGCAGAAATTCCTTCCCTTGTTTTGGTGCTGCCTCCACCACCCCAGAGGCCTCGCTTGTGTTTGTGTTGTGGGGCCTTTAAGCCTCTGTGTGTTTTGCATTGCTCAGAACCAGCCTCCTCCTTGGCTCAGGGCCACCTTTCCTGCGCTGTCTCTGCCCCGTGTTCGGTCTTGCCTCTTTGTGGACAGTTGGGTGGGTCTCTCACTTCACAGAACTCTTCATCACACCCTCTTTGTGTGTGTTCCCACTGCTTGGAGAGCTGCAGGCTCCTTTTTTACTTGCCTGATGCCCCACTAACTCTGCTCCAGGCCTGTCAGAAAAGAAGGGCTGTCTCAGTGAGCTCCAGGAGGGGTCAGAGGCAGTCAGTAAAGGGAGAGGGAATTGCCAAGAAAGGGGAGAAAAAAACCCATGGCTGATACTGCGAGGAACTGGGGAGACAGCAAGTGGAGGAACTTCACAGAAAGCAAATAAGGGCAAAGGGAGTGGAGCCCAGAACAGGTGAGGCAGAGGCACCCAGGCCTGGCAACTTCTATCTTAAACATAAGTAGCCTCAGGAGGCAGAGTTGATAAGCGAGAACTTGGAAAACTCACTCCCGGTCAGGCCTGTCCCCGATCCAGCTCTTCTGGGCCCTTCTTCATTTCCCTGCGTCGTCACGGGCCGGGCAGGGCTGGGTGGCCACTTCTCTGGTCTGTACTGTGTGGTACTGAGCACCCCGCTCTCCTGGGCAGACCTCGGGCTCTCATTAACACTAACTGGGTAGAAGCAGTAGAACAGATATTTCTAGTTATTTTCAGAAGGACAGTATGCTATGAGAAAAAAAAGATTAAAATACAATTTATTAGTTCAGTGGGACTTTTCTTGAACATACAGTTAGTTACTCATCGCTATTTATAGCACTATCATTTGAATATCCCTAAAGATGCAGCCATCAGACTTTTTTTTTTTTACATTTCTGCTTTGAAGAACAAACCCATACTTGTTTTAACAAGTCACATCACGGGAGATGTTATTCTACAGTCTCCACCCACACAACCCTGGGGTTTATTTTCATTTCAGATCTTTTAAACATAGCAGCAGTCGACTGAAGAAACCAATGGTCCAAGACACAAAGGATTCACACCGATAAATCATCAACTTCAGAGGTGGGAAAGGAGCAGCGTTGCTTTGGGATGGACTGGCCAGCAGCACCCTTCACAGCTACAACAGGTTGGCTTTAGTTTTTAATTCTGTGACACCAAATGACTTATCACACTGTATCTATTTAGGTTCATATCTTCTCTGTCCAACGCTCCTATACAGCTGACCTAAGCTGGGTGTGTGTCCCTGGAGCAGCAGTTAACGTGTGACAGTGTGTGGTCACCTTCAGAACTTACACCCCCACATCAAGAAATTTCTGAATTTCTACTTTGCTTATTTTTATTTTTTTTTACTTTGTAAAATATTTTAGCAGCATCAGCTGGGCAGGGATTTTGAAGCTATTTCCTAAGACAGAACCACTTCCTCCAAGGGTGCAATTTTTTCCCTAAATATACTTTTTCCAACTGCATAAAGACATAACTAAAATAAAATTCTTTCTCCTTTCATTCCCTCACTGTGGCCACAGTTTATTTTGTGGAAGCTCGACTGTCCACAAGAAGACTGTCCACTTAAAAAAAAATGTTTTTAGCAGCAGTGATTTAGTTTGTGTTGTTCAGGAGCCATCTCCTCTGTGGCTCTCTGCACTAGTTCTGATTCAGGATTAAGGAACATTTCCTCTAAAGAAAATGTGCTCCTGAAATTTTAACTATTCTGCTGCTTTTCTGTTCCTGCAGTCGTTGGTGGCTGCGGGAGCGTGGCCCTGAGTCACCTGGCCCACCTGCCCAGGTCTGGCTGCTCTCAGGCCCGATGGTGTGGGGAGTGTGCAGGAACAATGAGATGTCTCAGAAGAAGTCAATGCAGTCACGCTTTAATGTGTTTTTTACATCCTTTTACGATTCACAAAGCCAGAATATAAGTACTTATACATTTTTAATAGGAAAGTAATATATTCCCCTAAAAGAAAAATAGATTTGATTAATCATTTTGTCATAAAAGTTGCCTGACAGCTGAAACTTCAAGCTTCTAAGCTAGAAAAGCTCAAATAGACAAATTATACTGAAATGTTCTTTAAAGACCAAGCAGCTGTTTTATTAAAATATTAAATTTACATTTTAAAAAGAAATATTCTGATTTATTATTCAATTATGATAATCTTATTGAAGTGACATGAAATTCATGACAATGGGCTTTATTCTGTCCAAATTCTGTCCTCAGTTATCCACAGGCAATCAGTTTTGCCATTATTTAGAACTGTGCAAGGTCTCACACACACAGAGAAGCACCATTCCAGAAAGACAAATCCCAGACACTGGATTTCAACTTGACTCTGATTTTTCCCCAGAGAAAGTGGGTTTTCAGGCCTGGGACTAGGGCTGGATCCAGCGCCCGGCGCGATGAGGCCCTTGGTTCCGACCCGAAGGAACCCTCCAAATCTCAACATCGCAAGAAACAGAAAAAGGATTTTTAGAATACACCAACTTCGTCCCGCAGCACAAGTGAATGACCTTCAAACAACTTGAGGCAGGTTGAATTTACATTTTACTTCAAAAAAAAGGGGAAGTACATACATGAGGGGAGAATGGGGTGAACAACAATTATCTGAAACCAGGTTTCTACCATTTTTACGTACAGTTACCAACTGCGTTGGAGTCGGCCGGGCTCGTGCCGGCTGTCGCACGCTTCCTTACAATATGAACAGGATCGTGGACCAAGGAAAGGTTTTTCAAAGTTGAGGTCCAAATGGAAATAGTAAGATATCATACACAGTGTAAGTTTATAGTACACAGCATTGTTTGTTTTTTTTAAATGACATAACGCAACAGCAGGAAGGAGTAGTAGTAGTTAACAGTTACTAACACTAGAATAATCAAATTTGTATGTTATACATATACAGCAACTAACTGCTTTACAAAAAAAGCAAAATAATACAATATATTGTCACATGTATTTACAGTGTAGTAAATATACTTTTCTGTCAAATTTTACACAAAAACTATTTACAGGTGAATATACTGCATTAAAAAAAAAAAAATTGTGGGACCAACACTAAAAGTGACTTTCTGTGGTAAGTTTGTTGCATAACAATAAGACGTGCTTCATTACATTTGAAAAAAAAAAAAATTAACCTTAAAATGAAACAGAAAAAGCCCTAAAACCTACAACCCAGTTAGGAATAGAGCCCTGGAACGCTCCCAGGTGCTCAGTCCACAATACTTATTTGAAATGTTTCCTGTTCTTGGAAACCTCATGCACATTAAAGCAGAAACATTGGCATAATTAACAGGTCGGTTATGCACTATTCAAATACTACTGAATTATTTTTAAGTCAGGGAAAATACAAACACAAACAAAATGTTAATCATCTTTACAGTACTTAACTGTAGTTAGTGCGTAATGGAGAACGTGTTCTAAAACAGGGGTGTCAAACGTACAGTCCCCAAGATGTAGTTGTATGGTCCACATGTTAAAAATCAGATTTTTCTGACTCTAAGTGTTTGTTTCAAAGCAGGCAGAGGCCAGGGCTGCAGCAGCCCTCGCAGCAGCCACGGCCCAGCAGTCTGCAGGCTGCCTCAGCAGCGAGCCACGGCCGGAGCTCGGAGATCTGTCTCCCGCTCGTTAAATCAGGTTTCCATCCCACACGGTCACCAGCACCCACCTGCCATCGCTACGGGCATCCCTGGGATGAGAGGGGAGGGAGGGAAGGGGCTGGGATGAGAGTGATGCTCAGGGGAACCAAACGCAGCAGGTGGAGAATATTCAAAATATTCAAAACGGGAGAAGGGAACAAATAGAGAGGATGTGAGAAAGAAAATAAAAAGGCAAAGTAACAGCGCTGGCTGTTACAGGGAGCAGGCCAAGTGATGGACGTGAAAGTAAGGCACTGAGAAACTAATTACTAATAGAAGTTTAATCATTAAAGAAAGGCCATGTTTTCCCCCTTGATGTAAGCGCAAGCTTCCCCACTACTGGGAGATAACGACCCTGCGTATCGGGGCACACGTGACCCTGAATTAAACCTTGGCCATGGACTGTAATTACACCCAAATCCAGCCCCCATGACCCAACATGTTTGACACCCCTGCTCTAAAAAAGTTTGGGTCCTTTTCACTGAACCACGCAGTGAAAACATTAAATTACTCCCCTTCCTTCCAGCAAATACAATAAATTAAATTTTGTTGACTTACTTTATGAGATCAGCTTTTCTCAGCTGGGACTGAGAGCCTGGAGTAGTTCCAGTTCTCCCATGACAAGTAATTTTAATCACTGTCCATTTTGATTTCACATTCTATGTATTTCAAAGACTACATTAATATTAATTTAGGGACACTTTTTATATATAGGCAATGTAAAATATTGAAAGACTTGCTCTCAAATGGACCCAGTCCAAACCAAACTTGATTTGGTAGTTCATCTGGAATTACTATTTCTGTTCAAAGAAAATCTGCTCAATAGGAGAAACAACTGAAAGCTGTTATTTTTCTAACAGCAAGTTATCTTTAGCAAAGATTCTTTTTTCCTCCTATCTACAGATCTTCTGTACTTCTGTACAGAGCTTCTACAGTTCATTGTCTTCAGCAAAACCAGAAAGGGCTGGAATGAGCTTCATTCAGTACAACCAAGTGCAAAGTGGCAGCGACGCTGAAGGTGGCTCTTTGCAATTTGCTGTATGAGATGAGAAGGGGTTTAAATCAGTGTTTTAAATCCCAAGTGTTACAAGCACAGAGCGTGGACACTGCTCTGTTCCTACCAGTTCCACCCTCACTGCCAGGTGAGTAACACACTTCTACTGCACCTCCTACGCGACCAGGAATAGAGAAGTTTGGTTAATTGCACGACTCTTTTTGTATTTTCCAACGCATCTATTTCAAAACTGCCAATTCTAAGTTTTCCTCTTGTTTTTGGCAATCTATTTCCATATTAAGTTTGTGTTCATAGTTTTTCCAGGACTGTAAACAAATAAAAGAAGTTAAATTGTTATTTTATGAATCAATACAATAAAGGTATTTTTATTTACATAAATGTTACATTGTTACTGTGTGGATACATGTGAATTATGTGCTATATCAATAAAATCTGAACACTTAATTGTACCATTCTCTAATAATTTAGCTGTGGAGTTTGATTTACTGAAAGCCACTAACAAAATTGCACTAGAGGCTTTTATTTTATAGAGTGGATCTACTTCGTTTTTCCTTTAAACCCACTTACAGATTGTTTATTTCTGACATACATCAGGGATCTGAAACTGGGAAGTTTGGCTGTTCTGCAGCAGGAGATCTACTCAGCCCTTAAACGAGCGGCCGGGTGAGGGGCCCTTTTCTCAGCCTTTGTGCTCGCAGCACCCAGAGCACCCGCAGCACCCGCAGCACCCAGAGCACCCGCGGCACCCGGCGCCAGCAGCGCAGCAGCACGTCCCTGACACACGGCTGCAGCTGGTAAGTACGGCACCCGGCGCCAGCAGCGCAGCCGCCCGTCCCTGACACACGGCTGCAGCTGGTAAGTCTTTCACAGTGACAGCAATTTCAGTTTTGGGTGACCCTCCCCCCATACGAACCCTCCCAAACTAACCCCCCGCCTGGAAGCTCCTCAGGACAGCTCTGAGGCCAGGTGTCTGTACTGATACCAGGAATTGCACTGCAAACATTCAAACGTAACCCTGGATTTGACACAGTGTCAGTTATTTTTAAATTCATGTACCTTAAGCAAACATTACTGTTTTTATATCACTGCTTGGGCAGCACAAAAGCAGCTTTGCCGAACACCAGCTCCCAGTGCTGGATGTTAGTTCATTCATTTTCCCCTCCACACCCCAATGGTTATTCTGCCAGGAGTTTCTCAAAGGTTGGGGAGGGCAAAACTAAAGTATATGCTAAATGGAAGAAAGAAGCAAAAATTTTCAACACTGCTACAATGACAGCATAATAGTCAGTTCTCGGTGATTTCCTCTCCACTATACAACCTTTTTAGTGCAGTTAAAGTAGAGCAAAAAAAAAAAATTTGCTTTGGAAAAAAAAGCCAGTTTGTCCAGTCTGGTCCATACACCGTCTGAGTACGTGAAGCTACGGGCTGGGGAATGAGACAGACTCGTGCAGCCTCCTTGTCCTCTCAAATTTATTGCTAATTACTAGAAATTTAATCTAACCCACCACTTCTGGTTAATCTCATTGTACTGCGGCTATCTTAAGTTTCTTTTTAAGTATGGTAAAAAAAAGTCCACAGCTAAAAATCTTACAGGTTTGAATTAAAACCAGGATTAGAGTAACTTCCCCCAGCTCGGAAAGCCACTACCTTGAGAAGTGTGCAAACGGGATTAAGGATGAACACTTTCCTTCAGAGAAGACACAAACAGAAGGTAACAGAGGGAAGCAGGGGAGAGCTGTCTACGGGAAATGGCTTTTGTGTTTGGACGATCCGGTTGCGCAGCGTTACAGAACTCTGCCCCTCCTTCGGCTACAACGTCCCGCAGGGTCTACGTGAGCAGTTCTGAAACACTGGCTTAAACCACAAACAGAAGGAAAGAAATGAAGGCATTAAAATTCAGGCAATGTTTCAAGAGTTGATCATCTGGCAACACGGCTGACAGGATGGGAACTTTAAAAATTAAGTGCAGCATCACAACCAGTGGGGGCCCTTTGCGACAGGCCCACGAGTGTCAGTCAGTCTCCAAGGAAAAGACAAAAAAAAAAAAAAAAAAAAAAAATGAACCTTAGCTAGTAATTTCACCAACTGCAGTACTAATTTGTAATAACAAAGTGATCATCTTTATATCACATGTAAAGAAGCAGAAGTTTTGCTTGAAAAAAAAAAAAAAAAAAAAAAAAAAAAGAGATTAAAAAGAAAGTGTCACACCATCTTTTTGATGCTGTGACGTTTGAAACTGCCAGCACTTCGCTGCTTTTGCACTTGGCTTGCGGAGCCGTGGCGCATCCTCCCGCTGTTGGAGTGTCCGGCGGTGGGCGAGAGCTCCACGTTCTCCTTGTCGATCCCTGGGGAGACACAAGGACCGGGGTTAAACCTGCTGCTGGGCACATCCTCTCACCCTGCACTGTCAGGAGGGCTCTCTCTGCAGACACACCGGGGAGCGTGCTGGCCCCGGCACTGGGCAACACAGGAGGGACCGGCGGTGTCTTTGGGCCAGGGAGGAGTCGGTGACCTGCCCGCGCTGCTGTCACCAGTCTGGAGGAAGAAAGGAGATTATGGTCCAAGTGCTGCTGAGTTCTGCCATGCTGACAAGGGGCGGTTCATTCAACACAGCCTTTGGCAACACAAACCAGCCCCTGCCCGGGAAAGCGCTGCAGAACCTGGTCACGATGTATTTAAAAAACCCCAAAATATTCTTGGTAGCAACTTAGCCCCAGTAGGCAGGCGAGCACCACAAGCCACACGCTCAGTGGGGCAGGAGAGGAGAGGAAGAGTGAAAAGCAAGAAAACTTGAGGGTAGAGATTAAAAAAAATTGTCTAGTAAGTGAGGGATCAGTGGAAGAAGAGAAAAAGCAAACCAAAACGGGTGATGCAAAGGCAATGGCTCACCGGGGTGAGCTGGGCCCCTCCAGCTGCCTGTTCCCCGGGCTGAGCGGTCCCTGCCCAGCACCATTGGGGTCAGAAATGTGAAGCACAGCCCCGTCCCAGCTGCTCTGATGGAAATTAACTCTTCCCAGCCAGGCCCAGTACGCTATTTTAGCCCAACCCCATACAGTCTTACTGTCGATGACACCACACAAATGACAAACATGAGACTACTATTTCACTGCAGCACTGTGGTACCAAAAAGAATGTTCCAGGATCAGATGTGTGACCCCACGTTCAGCAAAAGCCCGGACTTTGACCAGCAAAAACACCTCCATACACTGAAGTGTGGTTCCTGCTCACACAGACCTACACACTCACCTACACACAGCGCATCACGTCCAAACACCACTTGTTCAGATAATCTTCCCTCTCCCCCTTAAAGTTGCAGATTGAATTTGATGTTAGATTAATCTGTCTCCAACAATAAAAGACAAAATACTTCAGCCTATGGGCACCGGCTGATCCGTCTCCACCTGTGCTGCTTTCCTCTCACTGTATGAACACAGGGTATGACCTGTGCACCGAGTGCACCTCGTCAGCTCTTAAAACAGAGCAGGAATTTTATTTAATATGAGGAACAGTGTACATGAACATTCACGTGGCAGATGAAGGGTTCCCCTCCACACACAAAGCATTGGGACCAGTACCCGGACACGCTGAAAACACAAACTGAAAGTCCTCCAGGCCACAAAGCCCTTCCTGACTCTAGTTTTGAGAAGACCAAGCAAACGAGAGTTTGACCCAAGTCTCTTCTGGTTTTTGTGTTCTCCAAGAGGCAGAACTGACAGACTCTCAATCAAACCCATGGGTTTCCTCCAGCCAAATATCAACAGCTGCCGTTGGGCAGGGGAAGGGCAGAGGGAGGAATGTCTGAACCTGTGGAATTCTGCTGCAGCAGCAGAGGCTGATTCTCGCTACCAGAGAAGATTAGTGCCTATTCAAGTACCTAAAACTCCCCTCAACGCTGAATCTTGGCTCACAAATAAAGATCAGTAACAATCAGTGTTTGGAGGACTGTCGCCGCCGGGAGGAAGAGGCTCCACTGGCCAACTCTGCCCACAGCACAGATTGAACCGACGCAGGCACCTGCTTGAAGAGTCAAGTGTCAAAGTGCAGACACCAATTATAATGATTTAAACCCTGGAAAATTCAAAGTAAAAGTAAAAAAAAAAATAAAATAAAACCCCCCAACAATTAACTTTTAACGAGGATAACTATAGAAACAGTTTTCTAAGCAGGGCATTAACAGGAACCCCAGAGCAGGCGAGTCTGGAAATCTTTCCAAGAGCTGCTCGTGCAGAAGTTCAGCTCCACTGAAGGCAGGCGGGTGCTGGCAGCGCCGATGAGGATGAAACCAGACAGGCCTTACAGCCCAGTGCATGTGCTTTTCTGAGCAGCTTTGGATGTTCTCTGCAGGACAAGGTAATTCCATTACGTTTTGCTAAAAGAATAACATCAAACAAACCTCAAAAGGGAACTGTTTTAGTGTAAACTTCCTGCTGACACGCTGACAGCACATGAAAGCCTTGGGTTATGAGCCGTGACTCTCACAGCTTTGGACACAGTAACTTGAAGATATAAAAGCAGAGACTCCTCTTTAATGCAGACATGCTTCCAATCAATT